GAAACATGTTTACTTTTTGCAAATGTGAAAATCCAAAAAAAAAAAAAAATCAACCATATACTCCAAAATGTGTTTATGAGCTTGGATAACAAAAACAATAATCATTGAAGGAAACAGACTCAATTGAATTTAACTGTTTGACATTCATAAATAAACAACCAAGATCAAGAATCACGATGCTTTTAACAAGCTATTACAATATACTGATAATCAAACAATCTTTGTATAGATGGTTCCAGTAATCTTGACATGGGAGATATACCTTTCGGATGGAAGTTTAATGTCAGCTTGATTTGCCACATCTTGTAACGAAGTGAAAGATCTGTAACATGCAAAGCAACAAAATGTCTCCATAAATATCTGCTCTACCAATATAGAGCATTCAAAGGTTGAAATGTCTTTATAAAGATACCCACAGCACAATATATCACATGGTCAACAACTATTACCTTATAAGATAATTTAATATAGCTTCAGCCTGCAACTTGACAGGATCCTTATTTTGAAGCAATGAGGACGCATTCTTCACAATCAGCCGAAATGTGCAAACCTATGAACCAAAGGAATTTAGAGGTTAGCTTATATTACAAGTCCAATAGCACATAATTCGTCTCTCCCTAATATTTCTTGTTCAACTAAAGACGGTTTGCTTGATCAAATTTAAAAAGCAAGTGCTCCACAAATACGACTCGTCTATATCCTAAATCGAGTAAAACTGCATAATGTGTGCGCTTGAAATGTATCAAACTACTGTAACCGATAAAATTTGCAGTGTAGAAACATAAAAAGGACCGAAGGACAGACCTCGACTCCGGTATTGGCTTGAAATGCGACGAACGAATTCCTCTCTCCTGGAACGCAATCTCTGGCGGCAGATCTCAACAGATTCTGAATTTCCTCCATATCCTTGTTTGAATAATCGGAATCCTTAGTCGCTGCACAAAAAAACAAAACGAATTCACCCTATAAGGCCGAAATAAAGCTAAACAACCACAATACATACGGAGAATATAGGAAAGTACTGAGTAAGAGATAAGCGGTGTGAAGACTCTGGCGCGAGGCATCGATTGGGGCCAAGAGAAACTTGGAGGCCTTCTTCTTCTGCTCCTTCAGCCAATCCTTCGGTCCTGCTGCGAACAGATCAAGAAATTAGGGTTTCAGACGGAAAACAGAGAAAGCAAAATCAAAATTGAGGAAATGTCAGCCGCTGACAAATTCCGATGGAGAATGCGGTCGCAGGTGCTGGTCGGAAGAGAGAAGGAAAGAGAGAGAGGAAGGAGAGCGATGCAAGGTCTCTGCGAGAAATGGCGATGGGAGGTTGAAGACGATGATGGTGTTCTTTGGGGAAGAGAGGCGGTGGATTTGAATTTGAAGGCAAGGAGGAGAAGGCGGGGAAAGGGGAGGCCGGTCTCGAGATAAGGCGGTGTCCAGATGGCGGCACCATCGTTGATGCTTTCTGCTCAAGCAATCCAAGACCGAGAGCCTTTCGATATTTATACGGGGTTTCTTTTTGAGGTAAGTGTGGGTGGTTCGCTGA